ACAACTAGAAGAACAGTTAGGCAGCCATGTATGTGATGCCCACCCCGGGGCAGCGTGGAACGACATCCGAAAAACTGTGGAAACAGTAGTGATGTCTGCAAGTACGGTTAACCATAAGGTAAGGGAGAAACACTGGATCTCAGCAACATCTACCGCAATGATAGACGCTAGAAAACTCATCCAATCTGGCTCTGAACATGACGAAGAGCAAAATCAGCTTAAGCGCATGCTGATAAGTAGCCCACGCAATGATGGTGAACAGTGGTGGGTAGCGAAAGCAAGAGAGATGGAAAAGGCAACGGCAATAAGTAACAGCAGACAACTGTTCAGACTTGTCAATGAAACCGGTATTAGGAAACCGATTGTTAGCGAAACTATCTCGGAAAAAGATGGATATATTATTCATTCTCAACCCAGGAGATTGGATCGTGGGCAGAACACTTTAGGGATCAGTTCAACTGGCCTTCAGCCACACATCGGTTTCCCACGATCTCCAGTCGACCTGAATGGAAAGTTGACGTAAGTCCTCCAACTCTCTACGAATTTGAAAAATCTATAAGGAATCTGAAGCGAGGAAGAACAGCAGGTCCTGACAGGTTTACCCGAGATTTTTAAGGATGGTGGTTCAGTATTAGCAGCAAGATCGACTGAGGTCTTAAGCAGAACCTGGGTAATGAACGTAATCCCATCTGGCTGGTCTCAATCACTGATTGTGCCAGTCTATAAAAAAAGACAAAAGTCCTCTTGTGACAATCACAGAGGAATCAGTTTGACTAATATAGTGTCTAAAATATTAGCTTGAATAATTCTTCGACGCCTAACTAAAGCTCGTGAAGAACAGACTATAGAACATGTGTTATGTATGCACAACCACCGATTACCCCGACGTGAGATGTTTTCTGGTGTAGAAGTACGTTGTAAGAAAGTTAAGGGCGGTCAGACTAAAACATGATACAAATCCATGAAGTCACTGACAAGTGAACTGAGCCATGTTGATAGGTGTAGAATACCTGGTTGGGGACCGCGAGATGATAGCAACCGATGGTTAGAGACGTTGAATCACATGGCACAAAATCGTTGGCAATGGCGCAGGTGCATGCGCTCTTTGGGTTCTCCCAAATTCTGATCTTCTGAATTCTTCATGTCCTTTATTTTCTTTCTAAATTTTTTTCACTGGATTATACTCCTTGAATAACATCTTCAAACCCTAATCTTTCCGATTACTGCTTATACTTTTACTACCTCTACCACTACGGGGTTTGGATCGACAAATGCATCTCTGTGCTAATGTTGCATGACAACTCGAACTGATTTACCTACGTACGAAGTTCTACGTTATTACTAACTGACTTTAGGCTTTATCAAGTCATGTTGTAATATTTCACTGGGAATAGGAATAGTGAGGACTTTACAACAAAGATATTTCTGATTACCACTTACAACAAATAAAATAATTCCGTAAGGAATATGAGAAAAGTTTTATTTTAAAAATATGTCCTTGGCTGATTTGAGTATATATAAAAACAAAAGTAAAACTAGTCCCTGACAAAAACGTCCCTCATTTATTTTGATATACCCACACTGTCATCGTCTACGTTTTGGAGTTGGTGACCGTGAAACTGAATGTAGCCCGGACCTGCTAAAATAATAAACAAAGATAATAAACTATTTAACTTATAGATTTTCACATAAACAGGAAAAATACATTGATATTTTCAGGTAAAGACTCCAGAGAATATTACGAAGAACTTATATCATACAATCAAAAAACTAAGATGAAATTTTTAACAAACGGTCGTTCCCATGTACTGATTTCCATGTATTTCTTATTTCTAATTATGCAAATGAATACGACAAATATGCTCAATAAATCTAAAAATTTCATGATTTTGTGAACATTTTATACTATTTGAAGGTAATTGTCATTACAGACTTATATTAACTAAGCCATATGGCTTTGAGTTACCTGGTTGCTCTTACCGAAACATGTACAGATGGAATTAGAACCTGTTACTTAATTGTTGAAAGTTGGGTTTATTCATCACTAAGCCACTGATCTCAACGGCACTGGACAAACATTTTGTTGCAGATAAGTGTTCTTCAGCCGAGGACATTGATGACCCAACTAGTTCTTTAGCAAAACTTATTTAATGGTGAAAATTATTGTCGAATAAACATGATTGACGTTTTTGCCTAGGTATGATGCTGAGCCCAACGTATATATATATATATATATATATATATATATATATATATATATATATATATATATATATATATATATATATATATATATATATATATATATATATATTATTTATTTCAACACAGATATTGGTACAAAGAGGCACCAAATACATATACGCCACACAAATCTCATTTGATATGTATGAGGGCTGTGATGCTGCTTGGGTGCCCAAACTGAAGCATCGTAAGGAGATGCAGTCCCATGGAAGTCGGTGACCAACAATTGGTTCACACGCCATTTGTTCCCGCAGGATACTGGAGCCCATGTGCACCATTGGTTTAGAATCCAGTTAACGCGCCCGACATTCGCTTTTCGTCCTCTCAATTTCGTAAACAACATCCCCGCCACGAGAAGGCAGTGAGTAGGACTTCCCTAGCAGAGGCTAAATACGCGTGGCCACGTGAGAGCATTTCGAGAGGGAGAGCGGACTCTACCCACTCTCGGCCATACTTGGGCATTTGGGGGCCATCAAGCCATAGCTCCAAGAAATGGATATTTTTGTCATATACTGTAAAACTACAATTATTGGTGTTTCTACATGAAAGAAATAGTTATCGATTGATCTATATTCTTTGTAAATCAAATATACCTCATGAGTATACGAACTACAATGTATGCATAGTGAGTGATGCATTGTTACGATTAAAAAGGTATTAATCAACTGAAAAATAAACACATTTTAACTAAGATTCAATTGATCAGAAGTCGGTCATTAAGCGAGGTGCTTGCTTGACATATGACAACTATACAAAGTATGAGACTTACGTATTAGATTGACGCATCTTTTCAGGAGACTGATTTGTAGAAGTGCAAGTTGAACAATATGAAGAGGAACGTGAAGATGAGGATGAACAAGATGATGATGAAGATGAAGGGACATCTGGAAAGTGCTCGGAGAGATTTATGTTGTCTGCGATCTTCGCTAAATCAGGTCGATTAATTCTGAGAGCAGCTAACCACCTTTTAGCAAATTTTGGTCTTTTCCGTGCAGTTTTGTGCCATACAATAGGAAAGTTAGTAGAACTAGAATTATTAAGAAAGAAAAACTGAGTGGCCGTTGACAAAGAATATATTTATTTGAACATATAAACATTGGTACAAAGCTGCACAAAATACATATGCAAAACACAATAACCATGAGGCTAGTAGCAGGGATCATTAATTTGTGTGAGAGCTGTGATACTGCCCGGATGCCCAAACTGAAGCGTTGGTTTTTTAGAGGGTCACACCCGGAGCCTTTGACCTCAAGGTCTGATCCACAAGGCAGTGGGGCATCGTAAGGAGATGCATTCCCATGGTATCCAATGACCAATGATTGGTTTGTACACCATTTGTTTCCTCGGGATCCTGGAGCTCATGTACACCATTGGTTTGGAATCAGGGTTTTCCAACTTCTCTAGGTGGACCCTCCGTGTTCACCAACCCGGTTAAGGCGCCAGACACAAAATTCCCAAACCAAGCTTCGTAAGAACATTTTCCACAACTAGGCTGCAATGGCAATCAAGTGTATTTAATCCACATTATTTTTTAGTTATTTGAACACATATACATTGGTACAGGAGTGCGCCAAATATATATGCGCCACACAAAACAATGAAAATTTAAGAGAAAAAAAACAATGAGGGACGTAAAAAAAACAATATCGAAGAGATTGGTGTAAGGGAATGTAGTAATAATCATAGTCATAATGAGAGAAAGGAAAGGTATAAGCAGAAGAAATCTTTCAGTTAAGGAAGACAACCGCTTTTTATGAAGAAAGTAAAAGAAGGTTACAGCAGGATCGCCACTGGCTTCTATTCTGAGCCATATCTGATAACGTCTCTAGCCACTGTGTAGCACCATCTCTAGGACCCCAACCAGGGAGTCGAGAAGGACCGACACAAGCCAGCCCTTTGCAGCTTTCTTTCATACCACGACACCATGTCATATACTGACCACCTCTCCGCCTTCTCCAACAAGCCCCAGAGTCGGCAAACAATGCACGACGTGGAATTCTCTGGGACGATATTCGTAGAACATATCCAAACCACCAAAATCGGTGTTTCAAGATGGTGACACCAATTGCATTATCTTCTCTGTGCCCGAACACACGATGCCGAACCTCTGCATTACTAACATGTTGTTGCCACTAAATGTCAGCAATCCTTCGTAGACAGCGATGATCAAACACAGTGAGTCGTCTAACGTCCTCAACTCGGAGAGGCCAGGTTTCACAAACATAGAGCAAAACTGCTCTCACCGACGCGTTGTAGATCCGACCTTTTACAGCCAGACTAACATCACGAAGGCGCCAAAGATGGCCCAGATTGACAAAGGCCGCTCTGGCTTTCACCATACGTGCATTGATCTCATCACTCACACCCCCACCAGCACTTATGCAGCTACCCAGATACACGAACTTCTCGACTACTTCTATCTGATCACCATCCAGGGTGAGTACAGGATTGGAATCCTGCCAGTCTTGTAGAAGTACTTTGCAATTCGAAGGTGCAAAGCACAGACCATACCTACGGACACTGATTGTCAACTGATTAAGCGCGAATTGCATGTCTTGGGCATTATCGCACAGTAAGACAATATCGTCCGCATACTTAAGGTCGACAAGTCTTTCTCCAGGCAACAGATCCACACCACCATTACTTACATCCATCATAACTGTTTCCAGAATGTCGTCGATGGCAAAGTTGAAGAGGAATGGTGAGATTGGGCAACCCTGCCTAACCCCACTACTCGAATGGAACAATGGAGAGAGGTGGTTGTATGCCCTCACTCTGCCTGAGTTATTTGTATATAGGGCTTTTAGGATGTTAATAAACTTCTCAGGCACACCCTTCTTCAATAGACAATCCCAGAGAACAGTCCTGTCCAACGAATCGAAGGCAGCCCTGATGTCAAGAAACACTACGATTGTCGGTCTGTTGTAAGTATGACGGTGTTCTAACATTTGGCGGAGGGTGAAGATATGATCAATACATCCTCGATCAGAACGAAACCCAGCCTGCTCCTTGCGAGTCAATTTTTCTCGGGTTTCGAACAATCTACGAAGTATGATGGAAGCCAATAGTTTGAACGCAATCGGAATTAGACTTATCCCCCAATAATTTTCGCATATATGAGCCCCCGTCATTCCATGACGTTGGAACACTCTCTAGTTCCCAGACTTTTGTAAACAACGTCGTCGGCTCCTCAGTCAGAAAGTCACCACCATCTTTAAAAAGAGTCGGAGGTGCTATCCAGAAACAGGTTGTGGTCTGTGCACAGTTGCAGTAGACGGTCCCCGTTATCTGAACTGCGACCAACGAGTCCCCATCGGTCACCTAAACGACTCTCTTCTGTGCCTAGACGCCCAACCTGAGCATTCAAGTCTCCGGCTAGTACTACAATATCTGTCGAACGCACTTTCTGGAGAAGAACAGATAACTGGTGGTAAAACTCATCCTTAACTGCATCCGGGCTGCAATCTGTCAAGGCATAGGCGGAGATGACGAAAAGACATCGTTTCTCACGCCGATTTCTTCTCACGTTGATGGAACTTTCTAATCTAACAGCACATAACCGACTGTTAATGGGGACCCAGTCGATTAGTGCTGCCTCAGCTCTAGCGCTTAGTGCGGTACCAACGCCAGCAAGACCAGACGAAGATGCCACAGGGTCCCCGGATAAGCGCACGTAAAACAAGCTTTTTGAATCGACAGATGGAGAGCGAATTTGTAGTACTTCGCCAGAGTCTTGAATACGGGTCTCGGATAGACAACAAACATCAATATTAAGACTTTCCAAAGACATAGCCAGCCCTATCTGTTGTCCGACCTGCAAGTGGTCTGAGTCATATTGGTAGGTGTAGACTACCTGGTTGGGGACCGCGAGATGATAGCAACCGATGGTTAGAGACCCTGAATGACATGGCTCAAAATCGTTTGCAATGGCGCAGGTGCATCCACTCTTTGTGTTCTCCCAAATTCTGATCTTCTGAATTCTTCATGTCCCTTTTTTCCTCTTTCCAAATTTATTTCACTGAATTATACTCTTTAAATAACATCTCCGAACCCTAATCTTCCCGATCACTGCTTACACTCTTGCTACCTCTACCACTACGGGATTTAGATCGACAACTGCATCTCTGTGTTAAGGTGGTGTGGCAACTCGAACTGATGTACATACGTACGAAGTTCTACGTTGTTACTGACTGACTGACTGTCCGACCTGCATAAATGTGCGAATGTTGAAGGCAGCCAGTTTGGATGGTGCACGTGGTTTCAGAAAAACAGCTTCAGTCCTCGTATTCGGTGGTAACATACAATTTTCAACCGGACAGTGACTCGAGAACGTTTAGATAGAGTCGAATTTCCACCATAGACGAGCTGCTGTATAAGTCGGAAAAAAATAAGTATAGACAGAGTAAGAATAAAAGAGGGTGAATAATGATGTAGTAAATTCTAATAATAATAATAATAATAATAATAATAATAATAATAATAATAATAATAATAATAATAATAATAATAATAATAATAATAATAATAATAATAATAATAATAATAATAATAATAATAATAATAATAATAATAATAATAATAATAATAATAATAATAATAATAATAATAATAATAATAATAATAATAATAATAATAATAATAATAATAATAATAATAATAATAATAATAATAATAATAATAATAATAATAATAATAATAATAATAATAATAATAATAATAATAATAATAATAATAATAATAATAATAATAATAATAATAATAATAATAATAATAATAATAATAATAATAATAATAATAATAATAATAATAATAATAATAATAATAATAATAATAATAATAATAATAATAATAATAATAATAATAATAATAATAATAATAATAATAATAATAATAATAATAATAATAATAATAATAATAATAATAATAATAATAATAATAATAATAATAATAATAATAATAATAATAATAATAATAATAATAATAATAATAATAATAATAATAATAATAATAATAATAATAATAATAATAATAATAATAATAATAATAATAATAATAATAATAATAATAATAATAATAATAATAATAATAATAATAATAATAATAATAATAATAATAATAATAATAATAATAATAATAATAATAATAATAATAATAATAATAATAATAATAATAATAATAATAATAATAATAATAATAATAATAATAATAATAATAATAATAATAATAATAATAATAATAATAATAATAATAATAATAATAATAATAATAATAATAATAATAATAATAATAATAATAATAATAATAATAATAATAATAATAATAATAATAATAATAATAATAATAATAATAATAATAATAATAATAATAATAATAATAATAATAATAATAATAATAATAATAATAATAATAATAATAATAATAATAATAATAATAATAATAATAATAATAATAATAATAATAATAATAATAATAATAATAATAATAATAATAATAATAATAATAATAATAATAATAATAATAATAATAATAATAATAATAATAATAATAATAATAATAATAATAATAATAATAATAATAATAATAATAATAATAATAATAATAATAATAATAATAATAATAATAATAATAATAATAATAATAATAATAATAATAATAATAATAATAATAATAATAATAATAATAATAATAATAATAATAATAATAAAAATAGCAATAATAATAATAGCAACAATGATAATAGCAATAATAATAGCAGTAATAATGATAAAAATAGCAATAATAATAATAGCAATAATAATAATAACAATATTAATAGCGGTAATAATAATAATAATAATAGCAATAATATTTGAATCATTTGAATGTTTGTCGAAGCAAGAGAATTAGTTTCCATGATCATAAACAGTTCAGTTCAATAGTTGTGTGTGGGCTGTGATACTGCCCGGGTGCCCAAACCGAAGCACAAAGCTACTTTATAATTTGCCTGCTATTTTCTGATATGAAAATATAACATTTAAAGCTAACAGGATAAAAATAGCGAGTTCCTTGTCATATTGGTTAAGGGGATTTACATCACAGGAAGGTGAGTTATCACAAGTCATCAAAACATGTAGTCTTGATGTGCATCATATAGCTCTGGATAATCTAGTATTTAGAAAATCACATTATGAACTATCGACCACGCAAATGTATAACCTTTACAAACTTTCCGAATGGGTATCATACTAACCTGCAAAAGTTTTGCGTAACAGCGATGGTGTTAGTTAGGTTAAGAACAACATGCCACCAACCACCAGGAACGAAGACCGTCTCCCCAGGACATTGAAGTATTTCAATAGGGGCATACTCTGTTGGCCAATCAGATGCTTGTGTGCGTGGATATACATACACGAACCAAGAGATGGCTTCGTTTCGATTCTTGCCACCATCAGACGGTTTCGGTTTAACCAGTTCTTTTGGAGTTCGCGGTGGAAACAAGCACCACCTAAAAGGGATTATAGTTAATACGCATTTTGAAATAAGCTTGAAACAAAAAGAAATAGACATTGAGAGTGAACGAAGTTAATTGAAGTGAGATAACAATGAAATTTTTTTAACGTAAACTAAATGTGATTATCCTTGATGAATTTAAAAGCTGACGAAAATGGTTATTTGTTCGGTACAATTTACACAAAGTACTGCTACTATTTAAACATACATAAGAATAGTTTACAGGCTAGAGATATCAAATGTACAAAGTGCATCATAGCAATTGGGTACGGTTACACGCCTACATTTGAATAGATGGATTATTCTAATCTTTCCACTTGTTATCACCCACATACTTGTCTTTGTCAATTACTCAAGTGTAAAATTAATTATGTTTTATAAATCTTTGAACAATGAGAGTGTGTCGATTTGAATCCTATATTATTCATAACTTGGAAAACTGAGTCAACTATAACTCTCAGAGTCAGTAGATAGATAGATAGTCAGTCAATCACAACGTAGAATCTGTACATCTGTCCAAGTTGCCATACCACATTAGTACTGAGATAAACTTATCAGGTCAAATCTCAGAATAGTAGAGGTAGTAACAGTATCAGTTGTAATAGAAAAGGTCAAGCACCGAAGATACAACTCGAAAACGAAATATAAATTAGTGAAATGAAAACAAGTAAAGTTACAAGAAATTCAGAATCGCAGGATTTGGACGGAGACAAATAGATAGGACAGATATATAGGATGGGGTAGGATATTATAACTTGTGGTCTTGCGCCCTATTAATATATAACCGATCGAACCAAATGACGCATAAACCCGTACGAGCAGTCTAGAGTCTTTATCCGTCCTTCTTCCTGTCTAAACCTGCCCGTCGAGTCCAGAATACAAATCTCAGCCTCCGCGATGTGAATAATATGTTTCAAACACACTGGATTTATATGCAAACCAAACAGACCGCAACACATCATAAAATAGAAAATAACATTTGTACAAGATCAAGCCAAAAGTGGCTGTGATTGTGAGAGACTGTAATTAATAAACTGAGCATAACTTAAGAATGGTAAATCGCATAATAATAGTCTATAGGTCAAAACAAATCTTATAATAAGAGGAATATGAACATACATAGTTTAGCCACCTGACAATTATACAATAAAAATATATGTATAGTATTAACCCATAAATGGATTCCAACAGTCACCATTCATTATTCTCGTCGGGACATAACATAGGGTAGGATAGGATAGATAGTACAGGTTAGAGTCAGTCATATATATATATATATATATATATATATATATATATATATATATATATATATATATATATATATATAGACTGAATAAGAAGTTGGTTGAAGATGTCTATGATTGTTTATACTTAGAGATAACATTATTTTATAGATTTACTGATCCAATCCACAAAAGCATTCCCAAGCAGCACAGTTTGGGCTTATAAAGTTAGCTTAATAAATAGTTTTAGAATAATTGGTATCTCACAATAAGCAGAATTGGATTTTTCCCTCGATTTTCTCAAGTCTTCCCCAACTTCTGCCTCTCTGTACTTTTTTCGACAGTAGCAACATATTATTTACTAACATTTATGATTGTTGATACTTTCTGTTTGGAAATGAAGTGTGGAGAATGGCACCGGTACGTCACGCATATATATATATATATGCTCCTAAAAGTTTCAGGTAGTGTTAAGCATAGAGATCTAGATACTGGAAAATGAGCTTAAATTGATCTGGAAATATTCTTATATGAATTTATAATAGGTTGAGACGTTACTGTAAATAATAATGATTTTCAGAGTTAGTCTAGTTATCAATTCAACTTTTAGTTAAATACTCTGGTTCCATTGATTTAGTGTGAAAGTACTGTTATTCAAAAAATAACATGGGTAGTCCCACTGACCAACTAATATTAGAAGTTTGAAAGGAATTCACAGTAAAGAAGAATTCTGTGCATAAAATGAAATAAATATACTTTAGTATCAGGAATAGTGTAAGTGCTAGTAACAATGAAAACGATGGTCATTTTAACCTGTGTACCTGTTCTCAATCAACATTTAGCCTTTAAAAAAACTAAAGCTTGTTGTTTGACCTGATTTATTTACCACTTTATAGTTGACAGGAATACGTTCATAAAGTTCTTCAACTTTGCTCATAATGGGAAACAAAGTAAAATCAATCATTCTCGATTAAAAGTACATCACTTGGAGCAATTACCTTTTGTATCCTCTTACTAGTGCATTCCAAGCACTAGTTCCAAGAGGATCAATATGTATACTCGTACCAGAACGTGGAGGACCCATTACAAACCATCTGAATGCAAAAGATGAAAATGGTTTTATGACAATGATTAGAAAAGTAAACTTTAGTAACAGCGATGTTATGGCCCCTACAGAGATATCTAGGGTTAATAAAGAGTATGAAATTAAAGATCTAAACAAAATTAGTCCAAGTACAGAATAAAAAGCACTAAAGCCGTTTTAACTATACCTTACATGGATTAAGAAGAAGGGTGTTTACTTACTAACCTGAACATAAAAATTTATTACAGTCGGATAACAAGAAATCCATCACACAAAACACACGGATGATTTTGTGAGTAAATGGATAGGGGAAAAAATAGTAAGAACAATAAATACAACTCAGATAAGCTAGTGTATAT